GAGAGAAAGATCTTCCTTTGCTGTTGGTTCACCCTCCAATGGCCACCGTGGCTGGCACATTGCGGCCGGTGCACCGCGCTGATCCGAAGTCAGGAGCCAGGTGCTTCTCCTGGTCTCCCATGGGGTGCAGGGCCAAAGCACTTGGGCCATCCTCCACTGCACTCCCGGGCCACAGCATAGAGCTGGCCTGGAAGAGGGGCAACTGGGACAGAATCCGGTGCCCCAACTACCAGGACTAGAACCCGGTGTGGCGGCGCCGCAGGCAGAGGATTAGCCTATTGAACTGCGGCGCCGGCGAACAGGAGGGAATTAAGGTGAACTCATTCAGAGAAAGGTCTGGGACAGGAAAACACGGACTTGTTCTGGGTGCCCCCTTTCCTGCCATCGCTGGCAGAAGCAAGCATTCAACGAAAAATAAAATCGAACAGAAAGTAGAACTAAATGAAGAGGACAGAGAAGGAACGCGTATTGGAGGATTAGTGACGGGAGTCCCAGAATGGCGAGCAGACTGAGACAGTGGAGGAGGGGAAGTTATCCCAGACACGAGAGGAACACAGCAGCTGGGGAAGTTATCCCAGACACGAGAGGAACACAGCAGCTGGAGGGCGCTCCTCAGTTACCCGGCTCTGTGGCGCCCAGCACAAGGAGGTGGTAGCCAAGAAACACCACTGCGGACTTCAAGGACACTTGAACAAAACACAGACTCCTTCCAGCTGGACACAAGAGAGTACAACTCTGGAACCTGGAAGAAAACCGTGCAGTGTCTCCAGACTTGAAGGAAAGTCATTTATACTCTAGATTTCTATACACAAACAATTACAAGAGTAGAGAATGTAGGAGCTGGCGTGGTGGTGTAACAGGTAAAGCGGCCACCTGCAGTGCCAGCATCCCATATAGGCGCTAGTTTCGGTCCTGGCTGCTCTTCTTCTGATCCAGCTCCCTGCTAATGTGCCTGGGAAAGCAGTGGAAGATGGCCTAAATTCTTGGGCCCCTGCCCCTGCACCTGCGTGGAAGGCCCAGAAGAAGCTTCTGGCTCCTGGCTTCTGTCTGGCCGGGGTCCCAGCCATTGCGGCCGTTTGGGGAGTGAACCAGTGGATGGAAGTGGGCACTTTCTCTCTCTTCTCTGTCAGTGGCTGGGGAAGATGAAGAAGTATCAGTTTTTGTTTTTGTTTTGTTTTGGAGAGGGGGAGCACTCTCACTATTGCTCTCACTTTCAAATAAATAAATCTTACAAATGCACACAAAGAAATCCCTGACCACGCAGGATTGGGCATGGCTTACACATCTGGCACTGTTCCAAGAGCTTCACAGAATTAAGTCACTTAATCCACACGACAAGAGGGAAGAGATACTAGTCATTCTCCTGCTTTAAGATGATGAAACAGTCACAGAGAGGTTAGGCCACTCGCTCAAGATCACACGGCTGGGTCCGAGCCTGGACACGGGTTCCAGAGCCAAGGGCCCCCCGGCTGCCATGCTGGGTGGCCTTGGTCCCTTCCCTAAAGACAAACCAGCCAGACACAGCCCTGCAGTGGCTTGGAGGGGACAGAGGGGCCGTCCATGGGAGGTGGGAGGAGATGAGAAGGGCTGAGCTGGGAGGAGGAGCTGCTGGGCCCAACAGCTCCAGGGTCTCCGGGGTCCTGGATGGAGGCAGACAGACCTGCGCATGTCCTCTTTCTGCAAAGCATGTCTGATCTTTAGCTGTCGGCCTGCCTTCTCCACGGCGCTGCGGAGCCCTGTGGGCACACGCACCCCAGGGAGCAAGGGCAAATCTCGGACAGGGGTTTGTGCTGAGAGGATGCCCTCATTTTGGGGAGGGTGAGAATTCACGGGGCAGGCGCTGGTGAGGTTTGATGTGGAGAGGAGCTAGGTCCTCCTTTTCATTGTATTTGCCTCCAGCTGTTGTAAGGTTTGAGTGGAATCTTTGGAGCTCAGGCTGAGGCAGAAGGAGTTGGCCTGGGGGTGGGTGGGGCAGGGCTCAGAGGTGAGTAGTTGGGACCTCCGAGTCCCCTTGGCTGACAGCCATCCCAGAAGCCCAGTTTGGCCAAGGCTGGGCCGAGACCTCAGGAATGCCTCGGGGCCCTGGACTCCTTTCCATCACGCTGCTGGAGTGCCTCTGGAAACTGAGACTGCCAAGCCACCGCCCTTCCCTGCAAACCAGGGTGTGCCTGGGTAGGGGCCTCTAGGATTTCAGTGCCTCTCCAAGCCCATCCAAATCTGTCAGCCAGAGTAACCCAGCCAGAGGCTTCCGGCTTCCGGCCTCGCTTGGGCTTGCACTCTCTGTGCAGCCCGCGATCCCGGCCCTGCAGCAACAGGGTTCCGCCTGGGTAGCATGGGGTGGGGGTAGGGTGGCACCATGTGCTCTGGGCTCCTGGGGCACTGCCTTGGACCCAGCCCCGTCCCTCCATTGCCTGCCTGGGTGGCATTCGCTGCGGCCCCGAGCCTGTTCTCCGTGAGCCTCTGTGGTGGGCAGGTTCACAGTGCGGGGCCTGGGAGTCTGCTGCCCACCTGCCGGGGCTGCTGTAGCGAGGGAGCTAGTGCCTCCAGGGAAGTGAATGCAGTGCCCTGCTGTCCTGGGCCAGGAGGTGAAGCTTCCTAGAGGAGGCAACTTCTGGGTCAGGCCTTGAATGAGGGTTAAGAATTTAAGCATGGAAGGGGCAAAAGGGAGTGCCATGCAGAGGGGTGGTGTAGCTGAAACCGCAGACAAAGCAGGCAGGAGTAGGAGGCTTAGAGACACGGGCTGTGGCCCTGACACTTTTTTGGGTTAGCTCCTTTCAGAAAAAGAATCTACAGTTGCCAGTGCAAAATTAAATACGAAAGTGACTTTTTGTTTGTGAGGAGAAAAGGGATATGGCAAATTTCAAAAAGTTGACAAATACCACAAGCATTACGCAAGCTAGAAAAATGACATTATTTTTATTAATTGGATGCCTCAACTACACCCTTATTCCTTTTCTTGGCTCTGTGATCTCTGCTTCAGAGGACAATCATTTTGTAAAATCATTTTCTATAGACAGAAGGATAATTAGGACTTACCTCTGATATTATTAGTTGGTTTTTGGTATTAATAGCTTAGACTTTTTTTGCTTTTAATTTCACAAGCTGTTTCATAATGTCATGTAAAAATATTAGGAGTATTGCCAAGTTGGGGAAACTTCTTTCAAGCTTCACACAAGCTCTGTATTTCAGAATGTCTTAAAGTTTCGTTAGACTTAATCTCCATGGTTTAAAATTGAAGACGCTTGTTATTGGTTTGTAAACAATGGCTTTGTGGCAATGACTTTGTGCATTTTCCAAAGTATCATCACTATCTCTCAAAATTTAGGACTGTTAAAAATGGGATTACAGGTTAGATCTAAAATTGTTAATTTTATAACTTTAGTGTCAGACTAATTTATACTGATTACTTATGCTTTACTATTTCATTTATGTTCTTATTTCAATATTATATTAATTTTAAAATAGCTTTTGTCTTAGGCCCTTCACCTACATCTAAATATGTGATGTTTCACTTAGTTTGTTGACATGTGCTAAAGTGTTCGTTCAAACTATAGTTAAGAAGCCACACTCAGCCTTGGTCACACTCAGCCTTGACCACACTCAGCCTTGACCACACTCAGCCTGGGCCACACTCCACCTTGATCACACTCAGCCTTGGTAACACTCAGCCTTGACCACACTCAGCCTTGGGCCACACTCAGCCTACTATGTTCAGCCTTGACCATACTCACTCTTGACCACACTCAGTTTGGTCACACTCAGCCTTGGGCCACACTCAGCCTTGGCCCACGCTCAGCCTTGACCACACTCCACCTTGATCACACTCAGCCTTGGTAACACTCAGCCTTGACCACACTCAGCCTTGGCCACACTCAGCCTACTATGCTCAGCCTTGACCATACTCACTCTTGACCACACTCAGCTTGGTCACACTCAGCCTTGACCACACTCAGCCTTGGCCACACTCAGCCTTGACCACACTCCGCCTTGATCACACTCAGCCTTGGTAACACTCAGCCTTGACCACACTCAGCCTTGGCCACACTCAGCCTACTATGCTCAGCCTTGACCACACTCACTCTTGACCACACTCAGCTTGGTCACACTCAGCCTTGACCACACTCAGCCTTGACCACGCTCAGCCTTGATTACAGTCAGCCTTGATTACAGTCAGCCTTGACCACATTCAGCCTTGGCTATGCTCCTCCTTGGCCACACTCAGCCTTGACCACACTCCGCCTTGATCACACTCAGCCTTGGTAACACTCAGCCTTGACCACACTCAGCCTTGGCCACACTCAGCCTACTATGCTCAGCCTTGACCACACTCACTCTTGACCACACTCAGCTTGGTCACACTCAGCCTTGACCACACTCAGCCTTGACCACGCTCAGCCTTGATTACAGTCAGCCTTGATTACAGTCAGCCTTGACCACACTCAGCCTTGGCTATGCTCCTCCTTGGCCACACTCAGCCTTGACCACACTCAGCCTTGGCCACGCTCAACCTTGACCACACTCAGCCTTGAACACACTTGGCCTTAGCCACACTCAGTCTTGGTCACATTCAGCCTTGGCCACACTCAGCCTTACCACGCTCAGCCTTGACCACACTCACTCTTGACCACACTCAGCTTGGTCACACTCAGCCTTGGCCACACTTAGCCTTGGCTACTCTCAGCCTTGGTCATGCTCAGCCTTGGTCACACTCGGCCTTGACCACACTCAGCCTTGGCCACTCTCAGTCTTGACCACACTTAGCCTTGGTCACACTCGGCCTTGGTCACACTCAGCCTTGATCATGCTCAGCCTTGACCACGCTCAGCCTTGGCCATGCTCAGCCTTGGTTACACTCAGCCTTGATCATGCTCAGCCTTGGCCACACTCAGCCTTGACCACACTCAGCCTTGACCACACTCAGCCTTGGGATCTTGTCCATATTTCTTTTTCAAATGCTCAGAAATATATTGATGTGCTTGGAGTGCCTTTGCCGGACTTGGGCAGCTTTTAATGGGATGACTCTCATCACATTTAGGCTTTTAAAAGTAGAAGCCAAGCGTCATTTGTTTAAACTACTCCATCTGTAAGGTCCACCCAGGAATGAATCCCACGACCACTGCCAAATCCATAGGCGGTGAACATCTTGGAGCTGAAGGGCGCTTCTCTCAGGTGAGTTTCTAGAGAGCTCTGGGACCCCATGGTGGCTGGCCAGGAGGGTCCCACAGCTCAGAACAGCTGTTGTCCTCTGTCACATGGAGAAGGCTGTTTGGCACGCGTTTCATCTTTGATGGAAGTCAGATCGTGGTCTCTGATGGTGGAAATGTAGAGGGCTTCTCATGAGGTTTTCCATTGTACAGTTGGAATCGTCTACATGAATCAGAATTCCATGAAACTGTGGAGTCATATATGGTGTCTTGCTCAGTTATTTGACTCACCATCTCGTTTTGCACTTGTCTTCTCTTTAGCTTAATTCTTTATTTGTTCTCAGTGTTGCTTATGGCTATTTATTTGTTTTCAGCAAATAAGCCATTGTTCCACTTCCTCACCCACTCATTTTGACGTTTCCTCAACTGTTTTTGCAAAAGAGGGATCAAATTCAACAATTAGTTTAATGATTTTAATGAAATTTCTATTGGAAAAACACCACTCTTCTTTATCACCTCAAAAGACTAAATATTTTTCACTCAAAAATGTAATAACTGAAACTACCTATTTTTAAAGTGCTATGCTGTAATAATTAACATTTTTTTTCTCATCTGCCTTGGTCTGGCTACTGGTCTGGTGGTGTGCTTTTATTTGATTGACATGTAACACGAGTAAGTGGGGCTTTGCCGTACCCTGTGGAGGTTTCTTGCTTTCCATGGGTCCTCAGGATATTCATCTACTCTGAAAACCTATCTGGGGTGTGTAATGCTTGTCTTGTTGTAAAAACAAACAATGATATATGGAATCTGCTCCAGTTACCATTTTATTTGCCTCTAAGCTTCAAGTTCACTCTTTATTGTCTGCTCTAAGGAATGGATTTTTCCTTTTGCTTGCTGACACAATTTTTTTTTTTTTTGACAGGCAGAGTGGACAGTGAGAGAGAGAGACAGAGAGAAAGGTCTTCCTTTGCCGTTGGTTCACCCTCCAATGGCCGCTGCGGCCGGCGCACCGCGCTGATCCGATGGCAGGAGCCAGGTGCTTATCCTGGTCTCCCATGGGGTGCAGGGCCCAAGCACCTGGGCCATCCTCCACTGCACTCCCTGGCCACAGCAGAGAGCTGGCCTGGAAGAGGGGCAACTGGGACGGAATCCGGCGTGCCGGCACCGCAAGGTGGAGGATTAGCCTATTGAGCCGCGGTGCTGGTGCTGACACAATATTTTATTAATTCAGGGTCCTGGGGGAGACATTGCAAGAGGAAGGGGTTTCCTTCCTGGTTCTTGTGTGCCCATTGCGCTGGTACTGATGGTATGGAAGGTTTTCTAGCACCAGCCTGTGTAGGATACACTCATTCTGCAGTGTATGACACTGCAACACATGTGGCTTCCCCAGGCTCTGGCTCCTATGGCATGCCCAGATACCCCAGGACCAGCTCCTGCAGCACGGGCAGGTGCTCCAGGGCTAGATCCCGCAGCAAAAGCAGCTTCTCCAGGGTCCGGCTCTTGCACCGCACTGGGAGATGGGTGTACCCTGTCATGGTAGATTCAATAGTTTACAGGTGACAAAACAGAGGCCAGGGTTGTACCTGCCAGTGGTTGCACAGTTTGTTGGGAGCAAATCACTGGGTTTGTAGTTCAATGCATCTGTCACCGTCTTGGTGGACTTTTTCTTGCTGGTTCCAATTTGCTGCCCCTCCTTGCCTGACTTAAGTGTGCCCCATCCTCTCGAACTCTCTCAAACTGCCATCTACTTAGGTTTACCCAGCCCCCCACAACCCCTCACCTTATCTTGGTTCTCATTAGCATTCTATGAGCAGAGCTGTTCTTTCCCTATCATATGGAACGACTTTATGGAAGGAGGTAACCCAGGCTAGAATTCAGCATTCCTAACTCTCAGGCTGGTCCCTGAGCCCCGCTTGCTCCACTGTTCATCCCGTCCTCTGCCACTCCTGGGAAGGAGCTTGCTCTGAGCAGGCTGGAGCTAATGCCAGCAATGGGCAGGCCTCGTGTTACCGCCTCAGGTCAGACTTCAGCCGTCATCAGCATGAGGGGAGCCGCACCTGGGCAGCATGATGGAGGGCGTGGTCCTCAGACCGCTCTGCACCAGGTGAGCTTGGTCTGGTGCCCGGCTGCCGCACAGCTTCAGTCTGAGTCCCTCCGGGGAGCTAGGGAGCCCTGCACTTTGGAGACAGACAGGGAGGTTGTGCCCTGCCTGTCAGGGATGGAACCCGTCCCACCTGTTCTGGGAAAGGCAGTAAAAGCAGCACACTGCCATGCTATTTTTGTTTTTAAACTTTTTGAAAAAATTATTTATTTATAAGTCAGGGTTAGAGAGAGAGAGAGAGAGAGAGAGAGAGAGAGAGAGAGAGAGAAATCATCTATTCGCTGTTTCACTCCCTAGATGGCCGCATCGGCCAGAGCTGGGCCAGGCTGAAGCCACGAGCCAGGTGCTTCATCCAGGTCTCCCCATGTGGGTGCAGGGGCCCAAACACCCGGGTCATCTTCCACTGCCTTCTCAGGCCCATTAGCAGGGAGCTGGATTGGAAGTGGAGCAGTGGGTCTCTGACGTGGGATGCTGGTATCACAAGCAGTGACTTAACCTGCCATGCCACAAGGCCAGCCGCACATGCTACTTTCCTCAATGCAAACAGAATAATTGTAGCAAGCACATATGCAGGTTCTGCAAAAGTTCATGGAGGGGCCGGCGCTGTGGCATAGTAGGTTATGCCTCTGCTTGTGGCTCCGGCATCCCATACGGGCGCCGGTGTTGCAGACATGTGGGGAGTGAACCAGCGGATGGAAGACCTCTCCCTCTATCTCTCCCTCTCTCTGTAACTCTGCCTTTCAAGTAAATAAATAAATCTTAAAAAAATGTTCATGGAAAACGGAATGAAAAGCTAAGCTTATCTGGGTGCAAAAAACACCCAGTAGAAATTCATGTGCAGTTTTTTAATAGCACATTTTCTGTGACCTTTTTGCTGACCACTTGTCTAGGAGATGCCACTTGCCAATGCATATTCCTAGAGCTTTACTTATGTTAGCTCCTTTAATTTTTCGCAACAGCCTAGGAAGTATGTCCCCTCACTGTCACCCCTTCTGCGGATGAGGACACAGAGGTACAGAGGACAGCAGATGGGAGGCTGAGCAGAGGGAGCCGAGCCATTTCCAAGGAGCAGGGTGCAGATTTACCCAGTGTGTGTGTGTATTGTGCATGGGCGTGTGCACTTGGTCGGGAGAACAGTGCATCCAGGGAGCCCTGATGATGTTGGGGAAGCCACCAGCCTTCTCAGCAGACCCTGGAGTGGGAGCAGCAGTGTAGGGGACAAATGAAAGACCCTGGAACTGGCCCCCATTCAGAAGAGGCAGGAGAAGCAGCTGTGAGGAGCCCTTGGGCCCCCTTGCTCCAGGGGGTGTGACTTGGTGCACAGAGCAGGTAAAGAGGAAACCTGGTGAGTTGGAGGAGGGGTCCCTGGTCCCTGCTATTCCTGCTGGGGACGGGCCATGGTCCTCCTAGTGAGCTCCAGGAATCCTGTGAGGCTCCAAGTTCAGGTAGCAGGGATGCCCCCTGGGAGGTGACGTCTTGGCCCTGGGTCTGCCCCCTCCCCAGCTCTGTGGCTGTGGCCAAGGCGATCCGGCTCTCAGACCCTTGTCCCATCAGCTGTAAAGCGAGGGGAAAATCCACGTTGTTTCCCTGTTTCTGTAGAGGACCTGGCGAGATGCTTCCAGTAGGTGTAGTTTTCCTTGGAAAGCACAGGTGTTGTCTCTGCTCTTGTCCCTTCTGTTGGACCCATGGCTTTGGAGAGCAGAGAGGCCCCGCCTGCTGCCTGAGGCCTGGAATCCACAGAGCAGCCAGGACGGAGGGTCCCGGGCCAGGCCAGTGTCAGAGCTGGTTCATTTGGCTGTGCACACGCCTGTCACAGAGTCCACTCTGGACACTGGGCTCCTTTGGGAAGGCCCTGGACTGACCAGCAGAAGCTTGGCTTCTGGCTCAGTAGCACGTGGGCTCCAGTTTCGTCCTGGCCTTTGACTAGGGGTGTGCTCTTGGGAGATCTATCTAGCTCAGTTCTACATCTATAAACTGGATAATCACATTGGTCACACAGGACTTTCCGAAGAATTAAATGTGACAGTGCATTCGGAACTCTCAGCCCACCGCCTGGCGTGCAGTGACCTGTCCCTACTGGGAGTTGCTGCTCCATTATCATCGATGAGTTACGGTTGGTTGAATGACTCAGTGGACACCCAGTCAATGACCCCGAGTCTCCCTGCAAATCCCCCAGTGCTCTATTTCCTGGGGCACAGCAACCCTCTCACCCGCCCAACTGTCACCACCTGCCATTCAGCCCCACAGGATTAAGGCCGGCAAGAGGCCCCTCCATGGGCTGGGGCTGACAGGCACCCCTGAGCCGTGGGGCAGGGTCTTCAGTGTGTGTCCCCACCCAGGGCTGCATCTAGTCCAGGCAGCTGATGGAACAGCCCCAGGCTCCCAGCCCTGGCCCCCACCCATTTCTAAGCTGCATAAAAGGGATTGTTCGTGAACTCTTGCACATCCTCATCCGACCTCCTCCTGTGTGGCTCCTGCTCAGAGACTGGTGAGTCCCCAGCTGCTCCTTTGCTTCCTCTAGGTTTAAGGCACGAGGACCCAGCCTGCTCTGTCCCTTGGCTGGGGGTCGGTGACAGCTCAGCCTCACACTGTGCAGCCCCGGGAGTCTTTCCTTGCCTCCCTCCAGCCCTCGCCTCCCTCTTTTGGGCAATGAAGGCTTGGACTTGATCATCTGCAGCCTTTCTGTCTTGCCTTTTGCTGGCTTGGTGATATCAGGGGGCTTCACAGAAGAACCACTGGGGACAATGAGAACAGAGCAGAGTACCACTTACCATGTGGTGCGTGGTGTGTTCCAGGCTTCTGAGCTCGAGTCTCTTCAAGGTGCTTGGAGGTCAGGGACTCAGAGTTAGTCCCTGCGCGTCTGTAATACTCCCTTGTCCCCAGTGCCTGGGGCTCCCACTCCCCATTATTCTGGCCTCACTCTTCCCAGAGCTGGGAAAAGGGTGGTTCCATCCACAAGTCCCTTGAGCCAATGCCCATGTTTTGGGCTTGCATCCCGTGAACTTGACGAGATTTGCCAACCCAACCTTGACCCCAATAGGGCTCGGGGTCTCTTGTGCCCGGGCCACAGAGTGTGTGGGCTGATGGTGAGTGAGGCTTCTGGGGCTGCATGTAGGGACATACAAACACACAGGGGCCGTCTCTCCTTCCTGCAGCTCCTTGGCAAATGATGAGTAACACTGAAGCCGAGAGGATGTTGCTGGACCTACTCAGCCTCTATCATAAGTACAGCCTGGCCTCGGGTGCCCTGGACAAATCTGGCTTGTCCAAGATAATGCAGGAGCACTTCCCCACCTTCCTGTCGGCCTGGGTGAGTAGGGACGCACCAGGGTCGGCTGGGAGTGGGGCAGGAGCGGGCAGCACCACGGCCCCGGGGGTGCTTGGGAATCCCTGCTCTCTGACAGGTGCCAGTAAGGCTGGGCTGAGCAGCCTTTCCCACCTTCCCCAGCCTCCTGCACAGCTGACTCCATGAACCCCTGGGGTGCGGCAGGACAGGGGTTAGCAGGCCCAGGGGTCCTGCACAGTTGCTGCTGCTTGCGCATTAACCTTGGTGCAAATACAGACAGTCCTACCTGCTGAGCCTCAGTCCTTGACCTTCAAATGGGACCATAGCACCTGTTTCCCAGGGTTGCTGTGCGGTGATGCACATGCAAGAACCTCGCACAAGGGGAGAGGGATAGAGAGGTTCACAGCCATTGTTAGATAGCTGCAGTTTATGGTGATTCGTGGGCCAAGGAAAGGTGGTGGCTTGGCCTGTCTTTCTCCCGGCTACAACAGGAATTTGCCCCTTTAGGCTTTTTGGGTTCAGCTGCTCCTTCTGGAAACTCTCTTTAAATACCCCCGGGAGCAGAAGTAACACAATTAGAAACCATACTAATGTGAAGAGAAGTGAGGCAGCCCTAGAATTCTAGAGTGTTTGATTCTCACTCGCTGTAACATCTCATGTCAGCACCACTCACTGAAACTCATTGGCGCACGTAGCTCAACAGGTAAGATCAGAGCGAGACCCCAGAAGGATGGGATTCAGCGTTGCTGATGATGATGGGTGGAGCTGGTTTTCAGGCCAGGGAGAATGAATACTGGGCATTCACAGGGGCACAGGCAGAACTCGGTGCTGCTGCATCTGAGCCAGAGACCACCACCAACAAGTGCAGCGTCAGGGCCCCCCGCCCGGATCCGTCAGGGGCCCCTCCGCCCTCACGGCCCTGGGCCCGTGACCTGATTTTCTTTTGTTTGACACCTTCTCCCCGCAGGAGCAAAAGAGCCCAGATTTCTTAGACAAGCTCATTAAGAAGGAGGACGCGGATGACAAGCAGGAGATCGGCTTTTCTGAGTTTCTCTCTAGGGTTGCTGCAATTGTTGCAGATTTGCACGATTCGTCTCAAGGCGGGAAGCTGTCTTCTGAGGGTCAGTGATGACTCAGCCCCTCCGGGCCCAAAGGTCTCCACCGAGGCCCAGCCTAACACACCCTGGGAGCCAATAAACTGCAGCCTCTCTTGCTCTGGTCGGTGGTGATATTTCCTCTCTCCCTGGTCATGCATGTTGGCCACACAGTTGATTCCTGGTTAGGTACTTGGTTGTTTGTGATTCTGTCTCCTCCTGCCTTGCTTTTATAGATTTGGACACACACACACACAGATTTTGTGTTTACCTTTGTAATTTTAACTTGCATGCAATATAATATAGACCAGAGTTAGTGTCTCTACTTTGTCCTGAACAGTGTAAAGAGTTTGTTTCAAGTTTAGATACTTTTCTTTCAGCTTGTTTGCTGTTATTTTTTAAGCTTTCCAAATAAATACAAATAAAATCAAAGATTCAAAAGCAAATACTGCAGGAAAAAGGAAAATTGCCCTAGAAGAAAGATCTGGAACACAAATAGAATGAAAAACAATAAAAGCTGCAAGTGAGTGACTCTGACCGAACATTTGTGTAAACCCAAAGTACTACTCTCTAATTAGGGAAAAATAAAAAGGACTTTTTTTTTCCTGCTCTGCCCTTTTTAAAGTGCAAAAGGATAAACTTTCATTCAAGATCAGAAAAATTTAAATAGAGGGGCCGGTGCTGTGATGTAGTGGGAAAAACCACTGCCTGCAGTGCCGGCATCCCATAGGGACACCAGTTATGAGTTCGAGACCTGGCTGCTCCACTTCTGATCCAGCTCTCTGAGATGGCCTGGGAAAGCAGTAGAGGATGGCCCGAGTCCTTGGGCCCCTGCATCTGTGTGAGAGATCTGGAAGATGCTCCAGGCTCCTAGCTTTGGATATGTGCAGCTCTGGCCATTGTGGCCATTTGGGGAGTGAAGCGGTGGATGGAATGCCTCTCTTTCTCTCTCTCTCTCTCTGCCTCTGCTTCTCTGAAACTCTGCCTTTCAAATAAAAATAAATAAATATTTAAAATAGACATATTTAAATAGAAAATGAATATAATAAAACAATACCTCCACTAGAAATTCAGAATTTTACTATGAAATTGAGAATAGTGGGAAATTGAATTATGCTCCCAGTGAAAAGAAGCCATTATTTTATCCAGCCATACTGATTAACCAAGTGAGCTGGACTGGAAGAGGAGCAACCAGGACTAGAACCCAGTGCCCATCTGGGATGCTGGCGCCACAGGCAGAGGATTAACCAAGTGAGCCACGGCGCCGGCCCCTATCTAGCCACACTGAAGCAAAACAAAGATCACTGAAGCTTAAAGGGTGCTGTCAGAGCTCTTGCACAAGGCAAATTAAAACAACAATAAGATACCATTTTAAGCCTAGCTAAATATCTGTGTTCTTGGGGTGGACATTTGGGTTGGTGTATAAGACAACTGTATCCTGCTCGTTGGAGTAACTGGATTTGATCCCTGGCTCTGGCTTCTGGCTCCAACACAGACAGTGGGAAACAGCAGTGATAGCTCAAGTAGTTGGGTCCCTGCCACCTGCATGGGAGACCTGGAGTATGATCCCGGCTCCCGGCTTTGACTCTGCCTTAGCCTTGGCTGCTGCAGGCATTTGAGGACTGAATCAGAGGATAGGAGTTCTCTCTCAAATAAATAAACAAAATAAAGATGGTACACTTTCTATGATCCATCACTCCCTTTCCTGGGCACCTAAGAATAACTTAGAAATTGTCTTGGGGCTGGCGCTGTGGTGTAGTGAATAAAGCTGCTGCCTGCAGTGACAGCATCCCATATGGGCGCTGGTTAGAGTCCCGGCAGCTCCACTTCTGATCCAGCTCTCTACTATGGCCTGGGAAAGCAGCGGAAGATGGCTCAAATCCTTGGGGCCCTGCACCCACATGGGGGACTCAGAAGAAGCTCCTGGCTCCTGGCTTCAGATTAGCCCAGCTCCGGTTATTGTGGCCATTTGGGGAGTGAACCAGCAGATGGAAGATCTCTCATTCTCGTTCTCTTTCCCTCTCTTCCTCTGCCTCTGCCTCTTTGTAACTCTGCCTTTCAAATAATAAATAAATAAATAAATAAATCTAAAAAAGTTGTCTCCCATATTCAAAGGGGATGTATGTGAGGATGCTGGTCCTGGTGTGTTCACAGTGGCAAGGAATGGGAGCCATCTGGAGTTTATCAGACACTGCGTGCTCTTTTATGGTTTTCTACTCTTCTCCTTGTTGTTCCCTTTGTCCTCCTTTGCTGCCTGGAAAGTTGAGCTCCTCCTCAGGATTCTACCTGGAAGAGAGCTCCTATAGAGAAGGTTAAAGCAATGTGGGTCTGAAGAGGTGAAAGGCAGGCAGGAGCCGGATGTGAGTTCACGGTGAGTTCAGTACCAGGGACAGCACAACTCCGGCTCTGTTTTCTCAGATGCAGAAGTTACTGGAGTCTTGTGACATCGGATTTCCAGAACCTGTCGTGTGTCAGCTGTTGTGTGATTGAGAGTGTAGGTTCTTCCACTATTCTTTAATACTCATACAATGCATAATAACTAGTAGTTGCTCTTAAGCTAATTCTTGCTCTAGTATGTTTCAGAACAAAGGTTCAATTCTGATCTATACAACTCTAAAACTTGTTCCCCAAGGCCTTGTTCCATAGTGGCCTTCTTCATAAAATGATATATTTGAGTCCCTACCGTGCACTTGGGAATTCCTTGAAAACCAAGCTGGAATGAAATGAGTTTTCTCATTCTGTTGACTCTTTGGAGCTCAAGGTTGTGGCTTTGGCTGTGGCATGGTGCTGGTTGGGTGTGACCGGCCATGAGGCTGCCAAGCACCCAGCTCCCACTACTGCAGGGGTCTTCTCCGTGAAGGGGGCTGTCCTTGCTGGCCCTGCCCTTTGGTCTGTGCTGGCGTCCCACGGTGGGCACACACCTTGCACCTGTTTGTCCAGGTGCATGTCTCCTGTCTTCCCTGAATGCTTCTGAAGGCAGAAGAATTTTATTTATTTGTGTTCTACCCTCTCCTCAAAGCCTGCTATAGAGCTGGGCACAAAATCATATTTAATCAAGAGTTGACAGAAATAGGAAGATGCAAAAATAATGAAATTTTTAGTAATGGTAGCTTGAGTAAATTATAGACACATAAAATCATATATATATATATGTGTATATATATATATAAAACTAAAAATAGACAAGATCTCTGTGACACTATATTTATTTGGTGTTCATTCTTGTTCTCGACACAGAGCTTGCAATACCCTTGGAGCTTCCTGAGTGATGGGGCATGGGAATATAGTTGGTTACTCATCACAAATCCTAACAAGCACTCTGGGTTTATTCTAGTGAGGCGGCTCCTGGGCCCCTAGATAGTGCCCGAGGGGTTGGCTGCCAGAGGTCACTGTGTGACAAAAGTGTTGGAGATTCCAGCCCCAGTCTCCCACCTCCTGGGAGGCAAGGGGAGCTGGAGATTGAGTTCAGGCGGTTCAATTTACTCACTCATGGCTACACAGGAATCTCCACAAACTCCCAGCCCCGGGGTTTGGAGGTCAGTGGCAGGTGCTGGGCGGCGTGGAAGCCCTGCGTCGCCTGGTCCCCTGCCTGCGAGTCTCTTCATTCAGCCTCTCCTGAGTTGTATCCTGCGTAGCAAGCTGGCAACAGGAAGAGAAAGGTCTTCTGAGTTCTGTGAGCCATTTCTAGCAAATCATCTCACCCAAGAGAGGGGTATGTGGGAACCCCCGAGTCCTAGCCTGTCAGTCCGCAGAATGAGGCGGTCCAGACCCTGAGACTGGTGTCTGAAGTAGAGCAGTCCACGTGGGTGCAGGGGCCCAAGCACTTGGGCCATCTTCCACTGGTTTCCCAGGCCATAGCAGAGAGCTGGATTGGAAGTGGAGCAGCCGGGACTCGAACCGGCGTCTATATGGGATGCCAGTACTGCAGGTGGCGGCTTTACCTGCTATGCCACAGCGCCAGCCCCAATATGTTTTCTATACTGTTCTGGAAGCTGTCGTTACTTTTCACAGTGAGACCTGCAATCCACGTAGACTTGATTTCTGTGTACGTGTGAGGTTGTTTCGTTTTTGGTTCCCGTGAATGAGTAACCAATGGATCCACGGTGTATTAGGTGTGGACATCTTTTCCTTGGTTCTCTTTCCTTTGGTTCCATTGGTCTCTGGCTCTCTGTGAGCCCGTCCCACAGGATCTTGGCTACCATACCTGTGATAATAAATCGTAGCATCTAGTCCTGTAAAATCCCCCAATCTGCTGTCTTCTTTGTGGTTGTCTGGTCTATTCTTAGCATTTTGCATTTCCATATGCGTTTTAGAATTATATTTTTAATTTCTGTAAGAAACTCCAGATGGGATTGCACTGAAGCTGTGGGCTGCTTTTGGGAGGATTGGCGACCTCACGATGACAGAGTCTCCCAGTACGCGAACATGGCGTAGCCCTCACTGAACATCTCTTGGTGGCTTCCTGTCTCACCTCCTGGTTTGGCTTCAGCCTGCCTCTCAGGCCGCACCTCCTGTCTCTGCTCTTCATTTCTGTCATTCCAGTCCTTGTCTCTCTCACACGCACCAGGATGGCTCCCATCCGAGCCTTTGTTCCTTGCTTTTCTCTGACAGCAGGGCTCCTCCCCTGGTTTCCCGGGGCTGGACTCAGAACAGGTCAGAGTCAAGATAATGGAGTGGCTGAGAACAGGCTCCGTGGAGCCATACGGCCTGGGTTTATGCCTCTGCTTTCCCTAGCCCCTGCCACTCACGTGGGAGACCTGGAAGAAGCTCCTGCCTCTTAGCTTCTGCCTGGCCCAGCCCTGGCTGTTGCGGCCATTTGGAGAGTGAATCAGCAGATGGAAGATCTCTCTCTCCCCCCACCCCATTTCTCTGTCACTCTGCCTTTCAAATAAATAATCTTTAAAGAGAAAAGCAAAGCAAAGCAAAGCAGAGTGATGGAGAAAGGAGAGACACTCCAGCACTCTGATATGGGATGTCAGTGTTGAAAGTGGTGGCTTATCTTACTACGCCAAAATGCAGGCCCCATGAATTTTAAAAAATATTTATTTATTTGAAAGGCCAAGTGACAGAGAGAGAGGGAGAGGTGAAGAGGAGGGCAGTCTGACTTTTGACAAATTATTACTCAGCAGTTTTCCAGGGATGACTCATGCTGATAGGTCACTTTTGTTAATTGGGTAGTTTCAAGGTTTTTACTTTACTTTTCAGGTTCTAAATATTGCAGTGGTGAGGGTTTGCCTGATTATTGCTTTGGACATCTGCTTAATTCATTTCTTGGCCTAAGTTTCCAGGGGGAATGGCTGGAGGAAAGCTATTCAAAAACATTCTCTGGGGGCCGGCGCTGTGGCGTAGTAGGCTAAGTGTCTGCCTGCAGTGCCAGCATCCCATATGGGCACTGGTTCAAGTCCCAGCTGCTCCATTTCTGATCCAGCTCTCTGCTATGGCCTGGGAAAGCAGTGGAAGATGGCACAAGTCCTTGCACCCACGTGGGAGACCTGGAAGAAGCTCCTGGCTCCTGACTTTGGATTGGTTCATCTCTGGCTGTTGCAGCCATTTGAGGAGTGAACCAGTGGGTGGAAAACCTCTCTCTCTGTCTCTCCCTCTCTCTGTCTGTGACTCTGCTGAGTAAAGACATAAATAAAATCTTAAAAAACAAAAGCGTTCTCTGTGGCATTGCTAAGAGGTTTTATTTATTTATTTATTCATTCATTCATTCGGACAGGCAGAGTGGACAGTAAGAGAGAGAGACAGAGAGAAAGGTCTTCCTTTGCCGTTGGTTCACCCTCCAATGGCTGCCGCGGCCGGCGTGCTGCGGCCAGCACACCGTGCTGATCTGATGGCAGGAGCCAGGTGCTTCTCCTGGTCTCTCATGGGGTGCAGGGCCCAAGGACTTGGGCCATCCTCCACTGTACTCCCTGGCCACAGCAGAGAGCTGGCCTGGAAGAGGGGCAACCGGGACAGAATCCAGCGCTGGACTGGGACTAGAACCCAGTGTGCCGGTGCTGCAAGGCGGAGGATTAGCCTAGTGAGCCACGGCGCCGGCCAAGAGGTTTTATTAAACAAAAGTTCAAGTCCCGTTTTTGGCTTTGAGCCGTAACAGTGTACTGATGAGCCACCGGGCTGCTGAGGAAGCCACTGTGTTGGGTGGACGAAGCCGCACGGAAACTGGAAAAGGTGCTGGCTCAGCTATCCACCGGTTGTGTCCTGCCCTGCCTGAAGTCCAGGTGGAGCCTCTGGTTCAATGGCCTGTCCTCTGGTGCCCCCTTCTGGGAGATGCAGACATCAGCCTGCAGGGCCCAGGCCTGAGGTGAGGGAGGCTGTGAGAGGAGGCTTGAGTGGGTCATACGCTGGGGAGGAGTTGGGGAGGCGCCACCTGTCACGCAGGGGCCCCAGAGCAGGTGCAAGAAGGCCACGCCCCCAGGTCTGGTCTTCCCTAGGAGGGTCATTTCCATATTGCGGTCAGTTATTCCCTAATGAACAAAGCCGATTCTCCCACTTTGCATTCATTTCCCATCCAATTTATTAAAAAAAAAATCCTTTATGAGCTTCTTTCTGTGGCAGGATAAAGCTGCAGGTGCGCAGGGCCATTCTGCCTCTCCGCCTCTGTTTCTTTCGACTGACTCCACGCCCCGAGTGGGCCCTGGCTCCCCCCTCCCCACACCAAGCCTTTGCACCCTGCAGGTCTCTGTGTCTGGAGCACCTGCCCGCCATCCCTCCTTACAACTCAAACTTTTTTTCCAGTCCCAGCTCAACGATTACCTCCCTAACAAAGCCTTCCTCTGCTCTCCAGGTGGCAGGTGCTCCCTCCCGGGTGCCTGGAGCACCCTGTTCATGCCACTTGGTAGTGCTCGTGGTACATGATGAGAGTGGGTGACTCGTCCCCACCCAGTGAGCTGGCCTTGGATCTTACTCATACTGCCTCACAGAGGGCCTGGCACACCACAGCTACTCGAGAAATACTTGTTGAATGCGTGAACATGCTTCGAGACGGTGAAGTTTGGGGGGGGATCACTAATTGAAGCCACGCAAGGTGTATTTAAGTGTGTGTCTGACCCCACCCAACCCTGGGGCCTGGTTTGTGAGTTCTGAGAGGGAGACGATGCTGAGGCCTTGGTGATTCTCTGATGTTTCTGATCTGGCTTCCAGGGAGGTGGGTCCTTGAGGCTGGTTGAGTTCATCTTAGCAAGTAAGTCTTGTGACGTCATCTCAGGAATGCAGTCAAGGTCCGGTTGTGCTGTTGAGGCAGCTGTGAGGAGTCACAGCACTGGCTGCCGCAGCTGGACGCACCAAGGACGGGCAGGGTGTGGGGCCTGGTGGTGGGCTCCCCGCTCACAACGCCGCTTCCAGTCCCGGTGCTGGGGAATCGCCAGGGTCAACCGCAGACCGGGACCGCGGATCCCAAGAGCAACAGGTCAGAGCCTCTTGTGAGAGAATCGTGGGGGCAGGTGGGCTGTGTTGGGTGAGTGCGGGTTCTGGAAAGCAGAGACGGGCAGCCCACCTCTGTGGGGAATGGGTGTAGTATAGATGGGTGTCCCAAGAGCGTCACTGTGGCCCCAAGGGGGTTTAGGACGCTAACCTGAACGCCCGACTTTGAGCTTATTCCCAAAGACATGGGTCTGGAGCCAGCGGCTGAGTTGTGTGACCCTGGGAGGTTCCCTTCATTTCCCCTCAGGCACATGGGGTTCTTGCCGTCTGCCTCCCGAGGCCGTGGGGAAGATGAGATGGAGCAGAGTCCATGTGCTCCACCTGGACACTGGCCAGCTCTGTCAGCGGTGGGCACAGCAGACGTCCCCGTCTCATCTCACAGGCCCCAGGGCCCCAGGGCCACAGCTGACCAGGGAGGCCATCTTAGCCCTTGAAAGCAAGGGCCTTGCCTCGGCAGGAAGTGGGGAGTCGCAGGTCACAGACGTCAGAGGGTCTGGGAGGCCATGGGACTGTAGGGCCAGGGGCGCTGTGTTAACAGCACGTCCGCTCCTCCTGGAGAGCCGTGCACAGCAAGGGCTGGTGGAAGCCGATATGGGGACTCCTGTGCTATCGTAGCTTCAGCTGAGAAAGGGAACAGCTCGCAACAGAGAGTGGAGCTGGGGTTTCTGGGTAATACAGTCATTTTAGCATTTTGCTGTGGCAACAATAGTTTGATAGTAGGGATCTGCTTTTGCAAGGATTTAAAATATGTCCTGGGGCCAGCGCCGCGGCTCACTAGGCTAATCCTCCACCTTGCGGCGCCGGCACACGGGGTTCTAGTCCCGGTTGGGGGCGCCGGATTCTGTCCCAGTTGCCCCTCTTCCAGGCCAGCTCTCTGCTGTGGCCTGGGAGTGCAGTGGAGGATGGCCCAAGTCCTTGGGACCTGCATCCCATGGGAGACCAGGAAAAGCACCTGGCTCCTGGCTTCTGCCATCGGATCAGCGCGGTGCGCCTGCTGCAGTGCGCCGGCCGCAGCGGCCATTGGAGGGTGAACCAATGGCAAAGGAAGACCTTTCTCTCTCTCTTTCTTTCTCTCACTGTCCACTCTGCCTGTCAGAAAAAAAAAATATGTCCTTGGGAAACATCATAAATAGGGTCTTGCTTCAAAGGGTTTAAAAAATTTTAGATTTATTTGAAAGGCAAACACACACACTGATCGAGAGAGAGAGAGAGAGAGAGAGAGAGAGAGAGGGAGGGAGAGAGAGAGAGAGAGAGAGCGTGCTTCCACCTACTGGTTTACTCCCCAGGTTGCCTGCAACAGCCAGGGCTGGACTAGGCCAGAGCCAGGTGCTCGGAACCAATCTAGGTCTCCCACACGGGTGTCAGGGAGCCAAGCCTGCTGCCTCCCAGGGTGTGCATTAGCAGGAAAGTGGAATCAGACGTGGAGGCGGGACTCAAACCCAGGCACTCTGATCTGGATGAGGGCATCTGAAGCACCGTGCCGCCGCCTGCCACCAGAGGCCTGAGTTGACTTCAGGTCACTCCTAACCATGGCCGGGCTGGGGGGCTGGGGACATGGACACAGCTCCTGTGCCCGGGAAGCCCCGCCTCCGTCCCTGGGAAGGGAGAGAGCCGCGTCCTGAGGTTCTGCAGTTCGGTTTACAGGGGGCCACGGAGAGTGCAGGGAGGGCCCGGGAGACAGCAGGAGGGCAGAGGGCTCTGGGGGAGGTGCTTGTCCCTCTGTGGAATGTTCCAGATGAAGTGCTGCATTCTTCTCCCAGGTTCTGCACCCCTGCATCCCCAGGCCCGGCCCGGCAGCCATGACGGACACGCCCATGGAGGACTCCCTCTTCCAGATCATCCGCTGCTTCCACCAGTACGCGGCTCGGGAGGGGGACGTGGAGACCCTGTCCCTGGATGAGCTGAAGGCCCTGCTCATGGACAACGCGCCCCGCTTCATGGAGGGCTTGGTGCGCAGGGTCTGGGGTGCCGTGGGGCCTGAGAGGTTGCAGCTGGGGTTGGCCGTGAGCAGTGAGGGTGTTAGGTGGGGGCGCTGCCTCTGGGAGGCTCTCCAGTAGATGTGGGGGAGGGGGGGAGAGGGGAGGGGGTGCGGAAGGGGGGTCTGCCCCAGCCCTGGCCGGCCCTGCTCCAGCCCGAGCAGAGCTACTCCCTGGGACTCAGGCCTAGCCCAAACCTGCTGGTTCCTCTGCCTATCCTGCCTCCTGGTTCCTTGCTTCTGGGACTCTGCCCCAAATGCCAACCCTCGGAACTCTGGCTTTGGACTTTGCTCCTGTTCCCCCTGGCCACTCCAGTGCCCCCTCCTCCTCCTCCGTTCCCTCCTTGCTGCATCCGGGCCACCTCCTGGGCATCCTGACAGCTCCAGGACTCCTGACTTCATCCTTTCCCCCATCTTGTGCTCTATAGGGTGGCACAAAGTGTGACCGATTCCCAGGCAGATGCACAGCTTGCGAGAACCCCGGGCAGTGGTGCCGGGGTGCAGCCAGCAGGGGCAGGTGGCCTCTGTCCTTGGGGAGCTCCCAGTGCTCGGGGAAGGAAGACAGTGACTGTGGGTGGTGGCCGGGTCATATCCTCTGCCTGAGGACCCACTCACGGTTACGCAGCCTGCAGAGTCCTAGCCATTGAATATTTGCTGTGGTTTCCTGCAAGCTCCCTTCAGGCAGGGCCATGCTGTAGCCAGCCCCCGGTCCCAGCAGGTGCTGGAGGCCCTGGTGGGAGTGTGCACCCCTGGGCCGTGGTTGATGATCCACCCCCTTCGCAGGGCCGGAAGCAGCCATGCTATGTCACAGAGTTGTTCCGGGCCGCAGACAGGAACAAGGACAACCAGATCTGCTTTGATGAATTCCTGTACGTCCTGGGCAAGCTGGCGAAGGACTACCACCTGCAGTACCACCGGCGGCTGTGCGCCCACCACTGCGCCCAGCACAGCCTCTACTAGGGGTGGCGGGCTGCCCGGAGCACGTGTGACCTGGGAACAGAGGACCCCGTGGCGTATGTCTATGTATGTGTGTGCACATGCGTGTATGTGTGTGTGGAAAGCACGGCTGTGTAGGAGAGAATAGTGCAATTTCATAAATATTTCTGAGTATTGGTCAGCTCAGGGGTCTGGGCACCGCCTAAGGATCCAGGTCTCCCCCACCCCAGGAAACACCAATTTGGGGTGGGAGACCCAGCCTCTGCCTCCAGGGAGCCCCTGTCTGACGGAGGAGGCATTGCCCTTGATTGCGGGGAATCCATGCTGGGCTGACGGGAGCCACAGGCCCTGCCTTCAGCTTTCAGTCTGTGAGGGAGGACTCTCGTCACCAGAGGCGGCCCTTAGAGAAGCTCCCTCGCCCATCCCACACACACGACGGGCTGGGGGCCCCGAGGAGATGGGTCTGGGCCCCTCTTCCGAAGGCGTCCCTGCTCTGAAGGAGAGCGCCAACAAGCCAGGGCCCCAAGGTGGACCCCCCTGGGTCTGGCAGGGGCCAGGAGAGGGAGGGCACAGCGGGATCCAGGGGCAGCAGGAGGTGTGCTGTCCATGGAAAGACAGGAACGAAGTCAGCTTGATGAGTGGGCTGCGGCCAGAGGCTGGCAGCTGAGCAGTGGAATTTGGGCTTTAGGCAATGGGTTGGTTGAGCGTGGTGTGTGTGTGTGTGTGTGCAGGAGGGAGTGTGTGTGGGGGTGTGTGAGGGAGAGTGTGTGTGTGTGTGGGAGGGTGTGTGTGTGGGAGGGTGTGTGTGTGGGAGGGTGTGTGGGTGTTAGTGTGTGTATGTGGGTATGTGGATATGTGTGGGATGTGTGTGTGTTTGTATGGGTGTGTGTGAGTGTGTGTGGGAGGGTGTGTGTGGGTGTGGGTGTGTGTGTCCTGCTGGGTGCTCTCAGAAGCAAGCAGGGAGGGGTGTGGAGGCAGATGAGACAGAGCAGAGGCTGGGGACCTGGTGGCAGGTTCAGGCACAGCTGGGGCAGGAGGGAGTGGGGTGGGGTGGGGGTGGGGCAAGTCTGCATGCAGGGTTGAGGGGAGGGAGCAGACACGGAGGAGAGGACGGCAGGACAGGACGAAGGCAGGGTGCAGCGCGAGGCCGAGGTTCAGGCCTTGGTGACTGAGGGGAAGCCACAGCTAGTGGTTGGCCTGCATGGCTTGCATCGCGGCTGCCAGTGCAGGGCGGGGAGCCATCCCGCCAGGGCAGCCTGTGTGCTGGCTCTGAGTCAGGGTTCCGAGACAGAGGAGAAGCTGACAGTCCGGCTTGGCAGAAAGATGGACACCTGACCGACACCTGTCCCTGGAAAGAGTGATGAGTGGAACCTGGGAGATGATCAACCAGAGAAGGCTTCCTGGAGGAGAGAGGGGCTGGGTCGGTCTCTACTAATAAAGCATGGTAATGGGTGCCACTGCTGACTCTGAACCCGTGACTCGCCTGTCCCGTGGCCCCTGAGCCACCCTGGGAGCCCGGCGATCTGACACAGAGCCCTCAGGGAGCTCTCCTCTGCTCTCGGGCACTGCTGGCTTCCGTCTTGGTAGGCTGTCTCTTCCGAGGAGGGGTGTGGGGTCCGGCGTCCTGCACTTCTTTTGATGGAAGCGATGAATTGTAAAAGACAGATGGGATCATGCACGTGGCTCACCCCCTACCCCCACCCCTGCCAAGACCCTCAGCCCCCGCTGCTCTCCCACCCTGCCCCTGTTGAAGGGCGCCCTCTGCTGCTGTAGCTGTTTTACTTTCTGTGCCGTCCAAGGGCAGTGAACCCAGAGCTTAGCCAGCGTCCCCTGCCTGGATCCACGCTCCTTCCCTGGGGCCACTGTGCCCCCAAGCCTGGGAGGATCCCTCCTGCCAGGCTCATCTGAGAAGCAGTGGGATTCATAGACCGCTGAGCACTAAACAGCACCCAGGCTGAGTGCTCCTTGTCTTGCTCCAGACACTTCCTGGGGATTTCTCCACCAGCCCTGCCTGCCTGTCCTCACTTCCTCAGCCTGGGGGACGGGCCAGCTTCCCTCTCTTGGGACACACAGCTGGGGATCGCGCCCCTTCCTGTAAACATGCCCAGGTTCTGCCCCCCTGCGTTGCCCAATGCCCGTCAGGCTGATTGCCGACTCTGCCTTTTCTCTCATGTGCTTGCCCACTTCCCGGCACCTGTCTTCAGCCAGGTCAGCTCAGCCGGGCGCCTGCTTTCTCTGAAGCCCCCAAGGCTGGCTGGCTGTGGGCGATGCTTCCTGGTCTCACTGGTCAGCCTGCAGGTGAGGCTGGAAGCAAGTCATCACTCGTGAATGCTGTCCTCTGCCTCACTGGATGTGGGGAAGGTCCTTGGGGAACTCCCCACTGCCAGACAGGGATCATTACACCTATCATCATCACTCACAAGGTGCTGGGACTATGCAAGTGGTGAGCGGCTGCAGGAACCCTTTGAGGCCGAGGTGCTGCCTTGGGGTCAGGCGCGGTGCTGGCAGCTCACAGAGGGGTGTGCCCGGTGAATAAGAGGGCTGAAGTAAGGGCTGGGCACTGGTTGAACACCTATCCTGTTTCACAAATGGTCCCGTTTTCCTCTCGAGAGTTTGATTCACTTTTTGGCAAGGAAGCTAGTCTGCCTTGGATTGATGGGTTTTTACCCTGACTCCTTTTAGAAATGATTCAATGTGGCTGGAAGTGATAAAGGGAATTTCCATACTGGAAAAGGAAAAGGCTACAAGTTCAAGTGTACATGCATTGATTCACTGAATACATGCTATCTGAGCACCTAGTAGGTGCCAGCCTTAGGGGTGTGAACACAAACATGGCTTCTTTTCTAAAGAGGTTCCCTGCTTTGAAGAAAAGACAACAAGCAGATAAATCATAGAACAAGGGGTATTCAAAAGTTCATGGAAAATGCCTATTATGAAAACTCCATAGATTTCAAAATTTTTATGCATCAAAATAAACTCATACTAACTTTTCATCATGTGTCTGAATAAGATCTGGTTTGAGGTCCTAAGAAGGATAAGACATCAGTTTGAAAAGAGCCCCATCAGAGTAGCATTAATTCTGCAAAAAAACCGAAGCAAGAATAAACATCCCACATTTATTTATGGGGATGCTTGGGTGGAAGAATGGTGAAACCATTGATGCTTTGGGCTGGTGCTGTGGCATAATGGGTTAAGCTGCCACTTACAACATTGACAGCCCATATGAGTGCTGGTTCGAGTCCCAGCTGCCTCACTTCCAATCCAGCTCCCTGCTGTGCCTGGGAAAGCAGCAGATGATGACCCAAGTACTTGGGCCCCTGAAACCATGTGGGAGACCCAGATGAATGTCCTGGCTCTTGGCTTCTGCCTGGCCCAGAGCTGGCCTTTGTGGTCATTTGGGGAATGAACCAGCAGATGGAGGAGCTCTCTCTCTCTGTTTCTCCTTTTCTCTCTGTAAAACTCTGCTAAATAAATGAATAAATAAATAAAGGGCCAGTGCTGTGGCATAGTGGGTAAAGCTGCCGCTGGCAGTGTCAGCATCCCATATGGGTGCCGGTTCAAGTCCCAGCCGCTCCACTTACAATTTAGCTCTCTGCTATGGCCTGGGAAAACAGTAGAAGATGGCCAAAGTCCTTGGGCTCCTATACCCATGTGGGAGACCTGGAAGAAGCTCCTGGCTCCTGGCTTTGGATTGGTGCAGCTCTGGCCATTGGAGCTATCTGGAGAGTGAACCAGTAGATGGAAGACCTCTCTCTTTTTCATTCTCTTTCTCTCTGCCTCTCTGTAACTCTGCCTTTCAAATAAATAAATGAATTGTTAAAAAAAAATAGCATGTGAGGGGCTGGCGTCGTGGCTCACTAGGTTGATCCTCTGCCTGCGGCGCTGGCATCCCATATAGGTGCTGGGTTCTAGTTCTGGTGGCTCCTCTTCCAGTCCAGCTCTCTGCTGTGGCCCAGGAGGGCAGTGGAGGATGGCCCAAGTGCTTGGGCCCCTGCACCCCATGGGAGACCAGGAAGAAGCACCTGGCTCCTGGCTTCGGATTGGCGCAGCGCCAGCCATGGCGGCCATTTGGGGAGTGAACCAACTGAAGGAAGACCTTTCTCTCTATCTCTCTCTATCACTGTCTAAGTGTCAAATAAAAAAAATAAAAAAAAGCATGTGAAAAAATGGAATGAAAGGGCAAGTTTATTTGAGGGTAAAACATTTAAAATAAATAAATCTTTTAAAAAAAAGAAACACTGATGTCTTTATGAAAAGTCCGTGGGGACAACGCCCTGGAGAAATCAGCAGTTTACAGGGGGATAACTCATTTTAGGAAGGGAGGAGTTGAAGTTGAAGAAGGCAGCCCACCCACACCAGTGTGCAAGGAAAACAACGAATCCCGTTCATGCCCTAGGTGAGGAGGACCTGTGATCACCAGCAGAAACAACAGCCAACACCATCAACACCTTGGCTGGTTTGGCTTCCACAGTTCAGGCTGAAAAGTTACAGCGGGGTGGGGGGGGCACCCAGCGTGCTGTGTCCAGATTGGCTGTAGAGAAGGGCAAAACTTGCAATGGAAATTTTCAACAAGTGGGATCAAGGTTCTGCAGCGTTTCTTCAAAGAATTGCCTGGTTCGAATCCCAGTTACTCCACTTCTGATCCAGCTGCCTGCTAATGAGCCCAAGAAGGCGGTGGATAATGGCTCTGCCACCTACATAGGAGACCCTGATGGAATTCCTGATTCCCAGCTTCAGCCTGGTCCAGCCCCAGCTGTTGTGGCCATTTGGGGAAGGAATCAGCAGATGGAAGATCTGTCTTCTGTCTCTCTTTCTTTCTCTGTCATCCTGCCTTTCAAATAAATAGATATTAAAAAAGAAATCTTGAGGATAGGGTTGGGGAGGGAGGTTTAGGGAATGAACTCAGAGCAGGACCAGGAAGGGTGAGGAAGAGGCCGTGCAGGCAGGGACAGGCAGTGGGTGCTGTCGCACCACGTAAGTCCCCTGAATCATTTGATGCGCTCAACGTTGTATCTCTTTGTGGGCCTCGGTTTCCCCCTATGCACAACGCCTGTTAGGATTATTGTGAGAATGAAACGAATTGGTGCAAGTAAGGCACTTAGAACAGTTTTTGGCACATGGTAGATGTCCAACAAGTGTCAGCCACTGTTTTGCTATTGCTTGTTCTTGTTGGCTGTGGTTGCTGGTGTGCGTGCCAGGCACGGTGCTGGCTCAGGCAGAGTTCTGGGTGGTAGCACCGTCCATACCCACCCCCTACACACACGGGGCCCACTCTGCCACTGCTCTACACACCCAACTCATTTTTGTGTGTGAACTTTTTATTAAAACATAATACAGGTGAAGAAAGTTCAGCAAATCATAAATTGAGCAAATCATGGGGTTCCTTGCTCCTGGCATTAGCCCTGGCCCTGTGCCCATCCTGGCCATTGCAGGCATTGGGAATGGGAACCAGTCGATGGCAGTTCTCTGGCTGTCTTTCAGTCTCTCTTTCTCTATCTGTCCATCTCTTTCTGTGCCTCTCTGTTTCTGTGACTTTCAAAGAAAAAGAAAAATACTCCCTCAAACACGAAATTTGGAGTGCATTTAACAACTGTCCATTTCCCCCTCCCTTCAGGGCTGCTATGAAAATGGGTGTGGACACATCTTTTCAGCACCCTGCCTTCAACTCATTCAGGCCTCTTCCCAGAAGTGGAACTGCTGGATTCTGTGGGCTAGGCTCATGCCAGGAGCCAGGAGCCCAAGGCAGATCTCTCGCACGAGGAGCCTAACTACTTGAGTCATCATTGCTGCCTCCCGGGGTCTC